GATAACCTGTGTGGAAATGGCCAGAATCTGAGGCAGGAGCGTGACTGGGATTGGTTTTTTCCTTGTCATTTTTTAAAATTTTGTTTAATATCTTGTTAATCAGGTCAGAGCTAGGTGTTACATAGCAAAAATGGGGTGCCTTGGAGGGGATTTGCAAGGAGGAGACCTTTCCTCAGCCACTGCCAGCACATTATTCTTCATCTGTGCAAGTACTTATGGTACTGGAGCCCTGCCCTTCTTCATTTGTGCTCACTTTAATCTATTTGGAGCGGATGTGGCTCAGTGGTAGAGCACCTGTTTTGCATGCAAGAAGGTCCCATCTTCAATTCCGGGCAACTCCAGTTTAAAAAGGACCAGGCAGTAGGTGATGTGAAAGACCTCTGCCTGAGTCTCTGGAGAGTCACTGCCAGTCTGAGTAGACAAGAGTGACCTTGGTGGGACCGATTGTCTGGTTCCAGTGGAAGGCAACTTCATGTATGTGTGTACTTGTAAGGAGATACCCTGTAGCCCAGCAATCTAAAGTCTTTGCTGTCATGTAGACTGACTCATGGGCAAGTGCTCCACCATTGCTGCTTGAAATGGCAAGGTATGCTGTCCACTCAGAATTAGAGTCAACTGGGACATCACTTATTTATTTACTCTTTACTTTATTCATAGCCCACCGTTACCGCTGAGACTCAGGGTGGATTGACAATACAGTCAAATAGTGTGAGACAGGTAAAAAGGAATGCAATAGTACTAGGGTTTTTTAAAAAAAGAAGCAATGCAAAAAGCAATGCAAAAAAAGAAGTATTATTCATGATGTGTCTAACAATGCAGAAAGTGACATTACAAAAGTTGAAAACAATGCAGTAAGAGCTAGATAATAATACAAGAAACAGATAATGCATTCCGTAGACAGTGGTGTAGCGTACAGTCCTGTTCCCTTTATAAAAAGTGCCTTTCCGAATCATTCCATTATGGTTTTTCAGCACTGCGAGGGATCTTGGGAAGTGAATGCCTCCCAGGTCAGGCAGCCTGTTGGGCAATAAAATGTCACAGAAGTTGCCTGACCCAGACTGGCCTGAAGCTGCCTGCAGAGACCAGAAGGGCTGAAACCCATTAACCTTCCCTTGGTCAACATTTGCTAAAGCCTCTGGGATCACACACAAGAATAACACCGCTAACCGAAAGTGGATGCCCAGTCAGGAGTGGAGACAGGGCTGTGCTCATGCAGCAGAGCTGTGGAGGCTGAGCTGAAGCAGAGAACAAGAGAGGGCAGAAGGGGCCTCCCCCCCCCCCGCCACCTGCTTCTCTGGGGTCCAAGTCTAGATCTTTGTTAGCAGATCTTCCAGCAGCTTCCAGGACTGGGGATCAGAAGGGTTTGACACCCAAAGGAGAACCAGAACCAGGCTTAATTTCAGTCTTCAGAGGATTTTTTTTTACTGCTATTTGCTGGGGGGGGGGGTCCTCTGTTGAGGGTGGGGGCAGCTTGGAAATTGGATTCCCCCCCCCCCATGCCTTTTTCTCCCAAGTACGATAACATTGACCGCTGAATTCTGGTTGCTTCCGGATAAGGTTCTTGTTTATCAAGGGCTCTCTGTGGGAGGCAAAAAGTATCCCAGATTGTTAGCAGGAGGCAGTGATTCAGCTTTTTCTTGGGGGGGGGGGAGACAATCTCCTAACTGGGTCTTGAATATTTATAAACTGAAACTTCAAAGTACCCTTGGAAAGGAGAAAAGGGAACACCCTGGGAAACGGTTGCTTATTTTTTTAAGGTGGGTAGGGTACATTGAAGTCAAGGAAGTCCCAAGAACAGGTGATATTGCATTCTCCACCATCACCACTACAGAAAGCAAATCAGAGCAAGAGAAACCAACCACCCACACTCTCTTTGACTTGAGCACTCAGATAAGCGAAAGATCGACCAGTTGGAGACTCATAGAAGAAGCCCTATGGTACCACAGCTCTTTGCTTTCCATTTTTTTTAAAACAGGTATCAGTCCCTTGGCCCCAAAGAGGAATCTGTTGCAAGCTTGGAGGTGCCCCCAGACATCCTGTTTTTTCCACATAAAGCCACCACCACCCCATTAAATTGAAGACAGCCAGTAGTGTAAGCAGGCAGATGGGAAAGTGTTGGTCCAAATCCTTGGCCAGCTAAGAGAGTTTACCAGCAGGCCTTTGGGCAAGTCGCACGCTTGATATTTGTTCCCCGTCTGTAAAATGAAAACAGCAATGTACATCAAAAAATCCCACTTCAATAAGACGCCTGCATATTCAGGTATCTTTTAAAATATAGTGACCACATTGTGGTTAGTTCTGGTGTGAGATTAAGCAGTCCAAATGGATGACTTGGGGGGGGGGGTAAAGTGGCTCTGGATTGTGGCAGGTCTGTCTCTGGGTTTTTTGTGAGTGTTTGTGTGTGTGCTTGCGAGACTGGAAGTCATAGGGACTTCTGGAAACCTCTAGTGGGGCTAGGACGTTTCAGAGAGGTGGCTTGATAACCTGCGCCCTAGCCCTGGTATTCCTTTGAGATCGCCCTTCCAGGTACTTGCCAGGGTTGGCCCTGCTTAGCTTCCGAGACATGACGAGATCAGGCTTGCCTGAGCTATCCAGGTCAGGGCGGTCTGTCTGTTTTGAGGATCTATAGAGGACTAGAATGGGAACCGTTTCAACTAAAGGGCATGTGGTATATAATTTCCAAGCCACATGTGGCAAAGTGAACTGGGTGGGAAGCTAACAGAGCACCCAGGGGATATTGTAAACTTTTTAGTTTACAGAAAAGATGACTCCAAGACTATAAGAGGCTTTTGTCATTTTTAACAGTATGAAATGCATTTACTTCCTCTCTTCTAATACTAGAATTCAGGGTCAGTTGGTAAAGCTGATTTGCAGTAGAATCAGGACAAACAGAGGGAAGTACTTCTTCATGCAACAGGGGACAGCTACCAGCTTAAGGTGGCTTTTTGAGGGAGTGAGACAATTCGTGGTAGATGGTTTCTGTTGAGGGCTGCTGGCCTGGAAAACCGAATGGAACCTTTGTAGCCAGAAGCAGTATGCCAGATGTTCATGACAGATCTCAGGGAACCATAATAGAAGGGCCACTGTCATCATATCCATTTTATTGAGCTTCCTAGAGGCATCTGGCCGGCCACTGTTGGAAGCAGGATGCTGGGCTAGATGGCCCTTTGATTTTATTCTGTGGAGCAAATTCTTAGCCTGTTGTTGTATCCTATCCTGCTCTGCAGTGCCCTCTGCTGACAGTAGAATAGTGTTACATGCCTGTGTAATAATATAGTACCCTCCCCTTTGCATCTGTATTGTACCACTGACATTTCTCATTCTGTAGGTTTAGTCTAAAAACTGCACCTCTCCCTGCCACTGTCATTGGTCTGCCCTTCTTGACTTTGCCCCAAAAGTTGGGGTTCTTTTCCAGACATCCAACCAATACCTATTCTGGTGAAGGAGGTGGCTGGAATGAGGGGGTAGCAAATGCCGCTTAGGGGAGTGCGGCCTGTTCCCCCATCTGTTGCTTGGGTTTGCCCCTCCCCCCCAAACTTTTCCTCAATGTTCTGCATGTTAATTACCAATTTCTTCAACCAGGCAATTTATACACCCTCTTGGGAAATCACATGCTGGGTCTTTTAAAACACACACACACACACAGACACAGAGAGCGCTTTTGTTTAATCAAGTCTGTTCTGCTTGCTTTGGAGTGCTGAGAGGCTGGTTCTTTGGACAGATTTGGGGGGCTTATCTTTAAATCCCCAGACTTTAAAATGAGAGGTGGAGACAATGAGAAAACACTTCACAAGGAAGGACACAAAAGGGATTGATTGACTGTGTGCTTCTAGAAATTCTATGCACGTGACATGTGGAGGACGAGAACAAATCAGAGTGCACAATGCTGAGCAGCCCATCTTAATGAGCCCTACTTCACAGTGGTGCTGGTAGCAAATGGGGCTAGATCCAGAGGCAGTTGTAGGCTGGAGAAGGTGGGTTAAGGGCTGTCACCTTCCTCACCTACACCCTAATTACCGACTGGACTTTTTGGCAAGAGCTGCAGACCTACCTGTGTTTTGTATGGGGATGCAATGGGAATTTGACTATCTATCATCCATCCATCCATCCATCCATCCATCCATCTCTTTGCACCATCACATTGCAGCTGACTTAGAGTTTTCAAGGCAAGAGATGAGCAGAGGTGGTTTGCAGTTGCCTGTTTCTGTGTAGCAACTGTAGACTTCTTTGTAGTTTCCCATCCCATCCAAGTACTAACCAGGGCTGACCTTGCCTAGTTCCCGAGATCAGATGAGATCAGGCTAGCCTAGGACATCCAGGTCAGGGATTGAACCTGTATAGGAGCACCTAAGGGGCCACAATGGCTTAGAGGTTAAGACGCTGAGCTGCAGACTGGAAGGTCTGTAGCTTGGCTGTTTGAGACCCGAGTGCCGCATGACGGAGTGAGCTCCCGTCTCTGGCCCCAGCTCCTGCCAACCTAGCAGTTTGAAAGCAAGAAATTGCAAGTAGATAAATAGGTACCGCTTTGGTGGGAAGGTAACAGTGTTTTGTGCACATCGGGGCTTAGTCATGCCGGCCACGTGACCACGACAAAAGTCTTCGGACAGCGCTGGCTCTTCGGCTTGGAAACGGAGATGAGCACCACCCCCCTAGAGTCAGATTCGACTAGCTTTCAAGCAAGGGAAACTTTTAGGAGCACCTAAATGCCTACAATGAAAAGGGTTTGCTGCTCTCTGGAAACATCTTCCCCTGTTCTTGGGGGGGGGGGTGAGTTTGGCTATAGTTGAGTAGAGATGAAACCTCCCAGTCTGGAGGGTGTTCCGTCTTCACTTATATGTTCTAAAGGCAAACTGGGAATAAAGAAGCACCCACGGCAAGCCTCTTGCAGAAGAGGCCAGCCAAACCTAGAGCCGGCTGGCCATCCCTGAGGGGCTGTCTTTGGCAAAGGTTTGCAAGGGGCAGGAATCTGAACTTGCTTTCCATTCCTTCCCACCCCACAGGCCATCTATAAAATGGTCTCTTCAGTGATGAAGATGCCAGAGGATGAGTCAACTCCCGAGAAGCGGACAGAAAAAATCTTCCGGCAGATGGATACCAATAACGACGGTAAATGAAGCGGGAAGAAAGATTAAGACACTCCCTCCCCTCTAAATCCTGAGCTTCTAGACAGATGTGCTGATTAAATTCAAAGTTGGTGGGTTGTATCCTGGGGATGGGAGGGGAGCTGCCTAGTGGTCCTGCATGGCCGGAGGGGCAAGGAGTGGGGGGGGGGCAAAGGATGTGCCTCAGGAGGAATTCAAAGCTTGGCTTTCTTTGCCCACACAGCGGGCTTTGGCTGCATGGCCAGATCCCTTGCTTGACTCAGCTATGAAGTCTTTAGCCCATGGGACCTGGAGATCCCAAAGTCATACTTAGGAGTCAGCAGCTACTTAGCCATATATTTGATAGAGATTTCAGAGGGTAAAATCCACTTCTAAAATACCACATGGCTTCTTGTCTGGCATTCTGCATTCAAAAGCAGCTGGGCGTGTATATGGTGGCCATCCTCTCTGTCCTGTCCTGAGCACCTGCTATGCAAAGGTGTAGTGCTTCTGTACATTTATTTATTTATTGTATTTATATCCTGCCCATCCTGTGAACGGGCTCAGGGTGGGTAGCATCAGGAGGTTCCAGTTCACAATCATGGCCAGTAATAGATGTTCACACACATACCCTTTCCCATATGATCATGCTTTTCCCTCTAGGCACAGGAGCTAGAAACATGGAGGTACATTTGGAGCAGGAGGGGACTGAATTTAAAAAACTGTGTGTGTGTGAGTGTACATGTGCATGTGTGTTTTCTGTGCCTGCCTGGAAGTCATGGTGACTTCTGGTGACCCCCACTGGGGGCTTGGATGTTTTTCAGAGAGGTGGCTTGTTATTGCCTACCTCTGCGTCCTGGCCCTAGTATTCCTCAGAGGTCTCCCTTCCAAGTACTTGTCAGGGCTGGCCCTGCTTAGCTTCTGAGATCTGATGAGACCTGGGCTATCCAGGTCAGGGTGGTACTGAAATACTTAAAACAGTTGCACTCTTCACAGTGTAGCCATATGATTATTTTTTTTAAACTATCAGAGCATCATCCACTGTTTTGGTGGCTTTTCCCACTGAGAGCTTCGCAGTAGAAAAGCTTTACCCACAAAAGACATCCACAAGACACCCTTTTTGGTATTGGGGATCATTTCAGATGGGTAGCTGGGTTGGTCTGCACTAGAAGAGCAAGAGTCAAGTCCAGTAAAGAGCAACAAGATTCCCAGTGTATAATCATTCGAAAGTCAAAGCTCCGCACTGACCTGGACAGCCCAGACAAGCCCAATCTCGTCATATCTTGGAAGCTAAGCAGGGCCGACCCTGGCAAGTACTTGGAAAGGGAGACCTCCAAGGGATACAAGGGCTCGGGAGGCAGAGGCAGGTAATATCAAGCCACCTCTCTAAAAAACGTCAAAGCCTCCATTAGGGGTCACTGGAAGTCACCATGACTTCCAGGTGTGCAAGCACATACACGCGTATACACGCACACAAATAGAGTCAAAGGTCCCTCTCTCAGGAAGAATCTTGCCTTTCTCTTACTGTTTTGTCACTGAGAAAGTGCTTCTCATGTGCAAAGGCATTTGTGTCTTATGGCAATTGGCCTCCTGTATGGTCCGTGCAATTCTCACTCAATAGCAAAGGAACAGAATGGAGAGGAAATGAGGTAAGCCTTTATTTATTTAGAACATTTATAATCTGTATAGCAATTTTAAAAAAATTCTCAACAGAGGCTATTTAAACAAAAATACAATTAAAAAAAATTACAGTAATGATAACAACAATCTAGCAACAGGGATCAAAATGTACCACAGGAGGCAACTAGCAAGTTTAAAAATTTAATTGTTTCATTACATATTTATCCTGTCCTTCATCCAACGGTGCCCTGTGAGGGACGTTAGTCTGAGAGGTAATCAACAGGCTCAGGTTCACCCCATACGTTTGTGGTCGAGTGCAGATTTTAACCTGGGCCCCTAGTTGCTGTTTTGTGGCTCTTAAGCCAGAGTTTTAATTACAAACCTGAGTGGGCTTGGCTATGGCAAATCTTGGCAGCTGGAAAATTCCATCGATGCAGGATCATGGTATCCCACATCAAAGCTCATGTGCTCTGCGTGCTGGCTGCCACAAGAACCCTTCTGACTGGAGAATTTGTTTTGCTGTTCCTGTCTCTCCTTTCCAGGCAAACTTTCTCTGGAAGAGTTCATCAAAGGTGCTAAGAGTGACCCGTCCATCGTGAGGCTGCTGCAGTGTGACCCCAGCAGCGCCTCACAGTTCTGAGCGCCTCCCTCTCCACACAGAAAACCGCGGTGAGGTGGCCTCCCAAAGGGGCAGCACCGCTTCACGGAGCTCACGGCCTTCCCCGCTCCAAGGAGGTGGCCAACTTCCCACCATCCCCTGGGAGAAATGGACACACTCCCCGCCAGTCAGCACTGCCAGTATCTTTATTTCTTCTGACTCTCAGTTTTCTGCTCTTCCCTCCCCCCCAGCACTGTAGTTGTGTGAGACTGCTGCACCGTTTCAGGTTAATGGCGGCGCGCCGGTGGCAAAAGCGGAGCAGATGGACTGGTCCGTTTTTTTCTTGAGTTGGTGATGTGTTTGCTTTTGCAAAAACGTTCCTTCGTCCTGCAGCCGCTTCTGGTGTGGTGCACACCACTTGTTTGTAGCACACAATAATTGTGGCTGCCTGTGACCGTGTGTCTTTGACCACCAGGGCAGAAATTAATATCTAGTGTTCAGTGTGTGAATGCAACCTCAGGGGGGGAGAGGCAGTGAGCAGGGCCCCCAGTGCTCCGCTGTGCCTAGCTCCAGTTTCCTCCCCCATGACTAGAGGACTTAACAGTGCAATCCTATGCAGAGTTACTCCAATCTCAGCCTCTTGGTTTCAGTGGGCTTCCAGTGGAGTCATTTGGCATAGTAAACTATGTAAAACAAGCACAAATATACACAACGCTATAGTTTAGGTTGAGGGCTTCTTCTTTTTTTAGTGTAGAGTTAATATACTTGGCCCTGCATCTTTGGTAACTCTGGCATTAGTGGGGTATTTCACTGCAGATGATTGGCTAGCCGGTGGCTGTGGCCAGAGTAGAATGGAACTGATGGGGGCCACTGGACAGGCCAAGGTTTCTTGGGCTGGAATCAACCTGCTTCTGGGTCACAGCTCCAGCTTCCAGCCTTACCCAAAGCAAAGGGTTCAGGCCTCCAGCATTTGACATCACCAGTCCCTCACCCACTACTCAAACTAGACCACATCCTGCTTTGCCCCAGAGGCATCTGGCAGAGTTTCCACTTTTCCTCCCTATTCACTCAAGCCCAAGGACAGGAAGGGCTCTTCCGGGGCCTCTTTCCTTTTACTTGGCAAATAGGTACCAGATGGCTGTACTTCCCTTTCTTGTGAGCCAATGATGATCTTAACACTACCCAAGGGAAGACACACACTGTTCCCGCTGGGGCTAGAGAGGGTCTGGCCAAAAGCATCATGCAGTGCTTTGGAGGTTTCAAAGCACTTTGCACACAGAATCTTTCAGTGGACCATAACACCCTCCCTGAAAGGTAAGCCACTAACTCCATTAAGACAGAGTGGATGCCAAGAGGTGAGTCACTCAGATGAGGCCACCTAGGGCCAGTTCCAGGTGTTGGGGGCCAGTGGGCAGAGAGTTCCCAAGGTCCTCTGCCTGCCACTGGGCCCCTTTCTCATGCCCTCCTTGTCTCCCACCCACCTGCATGCCTCCCACTTGCTTGAGTGTTCTTCCCTTGTCTGCTCATAAGCTCTCCCCCTGCCCATTCTCATAGCTGCTTGCAGGCCTTTCCCCAGTAGCACAAGGCAGTGCTTGGGGCAGGAGGCATAGTACAGTGGAGCATCAGCCCCAGAGGTTGCCCCATCTCAGGGTATGCTGATTCCAGCCCAGAGACTACAGAATAGGTTGGGGCTCAAGAGGGATTTAAACCACAGGTTTCCTAGCTTGTGCCTCATGTATGGCAGGGGCAGCACTGTAGGAGCCACTTGGGTGGTGGCAACAACAGCAGTGGGCACTGGTTCACCCCTTACCTCAGTCATCGTCACTGGCCTGAGCTGAGCTGAGCCCCCCTGTGGCACTGCTCATGCCCCAGGGCTGCTCATCTTGCCTTGGGCTATTGGGATCTCCCAGCCTTCTGCACAGGCCCCATGCACCAAAGACAGACAAAACAAGGCACCTTTTGGCTGTGGTGTTGACTGAAAACAGAGCCCCCACCACCACCACACTTCCTCAAGCAGGCCAGCCAGCCCCAGATCCCTTGTCTCCCTAGCAAGAGCACCAAGAGCTATCCTGTGGGAGCCCCACTGCGGGCAGCAGAAAGACCCCAGAGCATTTGTGTATGCTGTGCAATTCAATAAACACCAAGCCTGTCTTTAGGCAGGGAAACGTCTGCAATAGTTACCTTGCAAGCTGTCTGCTTTAGCGATGCTTCACTAAGTTTGCTGTTACATACGACTGGGCCTTTTAGTTTATCTTTCAGCATAGCAGGGGGTTGGTAGGGCTTCCGACACTTTCTTGGAATAGAAACTAGACTGCCATGAAAGCTGCGATTTGGGAATGGGTTGCGGGGGATACCTGAGGAGGCTGGACAGGAAAGACAGGTCTGAAGACAGACACTACCGGGCAGGCTGCCTTGTTTGTCCCCAAATCTCTCACACACACATGACCTTTCAGGTGCAGGCCGTCTCACACCTCGGGAAAGCATAAGGACTTGCCCCCCTTTCTGCAGAAGCCTGGCATTAGTACTGGGGATGCTGCAGGCAGGCAAAGCTAGGAAGCTAATGGCTACCTTGAACACATGACGCTTCCTTATGGTGAATCAGACCATGGATCCATCTAGTTCAGTATTGTCTACTCTGGCAGCGGCCTTTCACATCACCTACCACCTGATCTCTGATGCTGGGGATTGAACCTGGGACCTTCTGCACACAAAGCGGAAGCTCTACCACTGAGTCATGGCCCCTCCCACCCTGCATGCATTGTTCTTGGTCCCACCTTTGTATGGCGTGGCAGTACTCGGGCAACCTTCAACTTACAATATGGGGTGTGCTTTGGTGCAACTCAGTAGCTGGGATTGGAGCATTAACCATACAGGTTGGGGGGAACAGATGGCTAGATGCCTTGGGTTGTAAAGAATGCACAGACATCATGGCAGTGAGATATGGCAGCTCTTTACAGATGATGGTTTGCTCGGTGCGCGCTTCCCATACATGCTGACTCCAACTTCACGAGTCAGTGACAACACATAGATGGGGGGCGGGAGGTTGGACCAGCATACTGGTACCTGTTTCCCCTTGCATTGGTTTCAGTGCACATTATATGAATGTTATCCATAGGGAACTACACAGGGGACTGTGCAGACAACCATTTTGGAAAGGGGAGGGCACCGAAAGGCACGTTTTCCAGCTCCACTGAAGATGTGACTAACTTTCTGTTACTGGTATTCCATGCAAATGAGCATCCAGAAGCTAGTGTGGCTGGGGTGTGTGTGTGTCTCCACGCCTCATCCAGTACCCTGACACGTTGCTTCTCCCCCACCCAGAATGGCAATGGGGGTGGGGCTTGCTACCAGATTCCTCAACCAATTACAGATTTTGAGCTCATTAAGTGCCAGTTGATTTGTGTACTTTCGAAGTCCTCAATATGGGTGACCTTTTGAAAAGCCATAAGGCTGCACAGGTCTCTTTAAAGGTAAAGGTTTCCCCTGCTTGAAAGCCAGTCGAATCCGGCTCTAGGGGGCAGTGCCCATATCCATGCCGAAGAGCCAGCATTGTCGAAAGACTTCTCCGTGGTCATGTGGCTGCCGTGACTAAATGCTGAGGTGCATGGAACGCTGTTACCTTCCCACCAAAGCGGTACCTATTTATCTACTTGTAATGTCTTGCTTTCGAACTGCTAGGTTGGCAGGAGCTGAGACCAGAGATAGGAGCTCACTCGATCACATGGCACTAGGGTCTCAAACTGCTGAACTACAGACCTTCCAGTCTGCAGCTTAGCGTCTTAACCTCTGAGCTACCGCGGCCTCACAGGTCTCTTTACTATTTCATAAATGATGGTCACTCCTTATTGGAATGAAAAATTGGCTTTGCTCTTTCCTTTTCCATTCCCTATTACAGAAACAAACAAAAGCTCCTCCCATTAAAATCAGCACCTTCCAGTTAGTTAACTCAATTACTGCTTGTAGATGTACGCCATGAAATAACAACACACACACACACACACACACACGCCTCCGTGAAAGTCAGTCCAGAAGCCACAATCACCTGGTGGGGAGCTTTTCCATCTCTGAAAAAATCAACAGCATCCTTGGCCCAGCGATTTGGAGAAAGGAACAGCAGCTGTTTAATCCACCCATCCTGGGAATGCATGTCAGGAGGAATTGTGGGGCTTGTTTCTTTTTCAGACCTTCAAAATAAAGGTGTGGGGTTTTTTGTTCTCAGTGCAACGGCCTGCACAGTCATTTCAGATGCTCACAAAGTTGAGAGTGCCCACAGCTGCTCATTTGTTCTTGAAGAAGAGTAGCTTGGAACAGATACCTCAGCGTCAGTCTCTATGTACTAATCATTGCAGGAAAGGGAATGTAGGCCTCTAGCCCAGCCCGGCTGGCAGCTGCTTCCACCCCTTAGATCAAGCAGGCCGTCTTCCCTGCCAGGTTTGGAATGGCGAGAGCGGTCAAGCCGGGAAGCAGCACAGAAGAGTCCATACGGTGCCATCAGTGTCTGGTTGCTGCTGCTAGAGCCACACAGTTTCCACTCGTTCTTGGCTCAGGAGATCGCTGCCCTCGCAGACTTCTCGGCTCTCGGCTGTGATGAACTTCAGTGTGACCTTGAAAGCAGAAGGGTTGCACTGAACATAGGGAAGTCACCACAAGGCCATATGCATGGCGGTGCCTGTTTGGAGGGGACCCACCCAGAGGCAGTGAACAACACCCTTCCCCCACCTGAGGGAGAACTCACAAGCCAGGCTGGTCAACCCCATCTTTCATGGGGACAGGAGAGCAAATATCCCTCTCCACACCCAATGTGGTGCCTGTGGAGGCCACGGCAGCCACCAGCACCTTTTGATTTGATTGGCTCTGCACATTTTTAGAAACGTTGCTTTGGCTACCACAACACAAGGAACTTCACTGTGCGACTGAAGGTAAGCTGTGGGAGCCAATTTGTGGCTGGATCCACCTCCTGCACCAGCCATTTTGTGGCTGCACTCTCCACACAGTGAAGAATTCCAAAGGCTTAAAACATGTAGGGATTGACTTATGGCACTGCAATTGCTTTTTTAGCCCAAACTGGCTCCCTTGAGTAGCTTCCAGTAATACAACTATACAATATCTACAAGCATTATTAGAATAGTATTGAAAGGGGCTGGGGAGGGGGTTGCCTCAGTCAGCGACATGTTCAGTAGGAGACTAAACAGGGCCCGCTTTCATAATACAAGGGCTGTGACAAACAAAACTCCAGGGGTTTCTTGTTGGCGCCTGCACAGCACTGGAGTATGGTCTCTCTTCCTCTTGCCCCCCCCCCATGGCAGAGCCCAGGGGAAACACAGCCCCCAATAAACAGAAAGTTGGCACTGCAGAGGTGTGGCAGAAACTATCTGTTGCTGACTACGGGGGGGGGGGGAATTCACCACTCCAGTCTACTGGGGAGGATGAACTCCCCTGCGAGACTTCCTCCAGGATAAGCACAAAAGGTTGTGTTGCCAACTCTGGGTTTGGAAATTCCTGGATACTTGGGGGAGGAGTCTGGAGAAGATGGGATATAATGCCATAAAGTCCAACCTCCAAAGCAGTCATTTTTCCAGGGGAACTGATTGCTGTAGTCTGGAGATCATTTATAAATCCAAGAGATCTCCAGGCACCACCTGGAGGTTGGCAATGCTAACAAAAGGCCATTGGGCAGCCAGCATCTCTCTGGACGGCATACAGAGACATCACAGTGACACTGAGGGGTTGGAATGCTCGGAGAATCCACTGGTTGGACATTTTTTCTGTTGTATTTTGCAAACTAGTTGAGACCAGAATTAATGAGATGCTAATTACAAGTCAGTTGCTAATTGCTAATTATTTGAAATGAGGCTGAATTATTCAGAAGTGTTTCAAAGGCCTCAGAGGGGCATGAAACTGAATTGGAATATTGGATGATAAATCCATAACGTTTGATTCAGTGTTATCAAGGTCAGTCTTCCCAACGGATTAGAACATGCCACCTTGCGGGAAATCAGTTTGGGTTGGCAGTGCTGAGACACTACCAAACTTTTCTTTCCTGCAGGTGCACACTGGAAGACAGACTAAGGAAATTATACAGGGAAACCTGGGGGCTGGGAGGGCATGGCAAGACCTTCTTCCAGGGCCCAAGGCATCAAGATCCTCAGCAGGACAGGAAGGGCATGGTCTCACATTTTTCTTGCGAGTTCTTCTGCGACACAGCCTTAGGTTCAGGAGCTGGAGCAGGATCAGGAAGCATCGGATGCTAAAGATGATCTCTACACATTCCAGGAGCAGCGAAAGACCCCAAAGACACAGTGTGGAACTCTGCAGGGAGGCAGAAGAGGAGGAGGGCAAATGACCCCCTGAGCAAAGCCCCTAATCTATCTGGTTTTGAACCAGAGGATTGCACAGTTGGATCATCTCATGCACTGTCTTGCTCTCTAACCAAAAATGGCTTCTTGCCCTCCATGCTCCCTTCCATAGAACAATCTACATACCCCAGGACAGAAGGTGTCACTGCCCCTTTGTATGAGGCACTGGCAAATCCCAACCTCCTGGCATCAAATCTCTGGAACTCTCTCCCCAGAGACAGTCTCTCCCAGGAGTCTCATCTGTCCCCTTCTGTTGCCATCTTCCACAAGCAGGGGAAGACTTTTTTTGTTTTCTCTGGCATTCCCTCAGGGTTCCCTCCTTCCTGCCCAATGTTTTAATAGTTTTTATCAGGGGTTGTTTAGTAGAAAAAGAGCTAGGGGAACTCATTAGCATAACTCATTAGCATATGCCACACCCCCTGACATCATCGGAAGTGTGTCATAAGGCCACACCCCCTGATATCACCAGAAGTGTGTCATAAGAACACACACCCCGCCCCTAACGGTCCCGGCCGCGGCCTTGCAACTCCACTGCTGAGCCCCATGAGGGGCCCGGCGGTGGACCTGCAAGGCCGACGGGAGTGCAAGGAAGCCCCGCGAAGACCCTCCCTGGCCCCAGGCAGGCAGGGGTGGGGAGAGGCAGGGAGGAAGCAACTTACCCTCCCTCTTCTCCTGAGGGCCGGAAGCCGGAAGCGGGGCGGCCAGAAGCAGGGGGCGGGGCTCCGTCATGTGCCCCGCCCCCCGTACCTCACCCGGGGGAACTGCGATCCCCCGCGATCCCCCCCGAAATGACCTCTGGTTTTTATGTTTTTGTATGTGGGTCTTTATGGTTTTAAAATATGGCTTTATTATGTATGTTTTAATTTCTTAGACACCTTGGTGGCTCTTCTGAGGGCAGAAAGGAGGAGTATACATTTTGTAAAATAAAAACATCTGGCATTGCTGGTGCCCTGCCTTAACTGTGCCACCAAGAAACCCCTGTGACATGCAGAGGTTCCTTGGCATATAAGTCTATATCAAAAGGGTTCCTGGAGGTAGAAAGTTTGGAACCCTCACCCCCAAACCCTAAAACAATGACTGAAAATCTCTTCTACTGGAAATCCTATCAACCCTTAGAAGGGGAAAAGGAATGCGATTCCACAGGCACCCTGGGGAGCTTGTTCTGTTGCTTCTCTTGAGAGCTTTCTTGTCATAGGAATCTTGTACGCACATGCACACACACATTGCACTTACATAGACCCGGGTGGGGTCAAAGGGACACTCGTGCACAATCTGGATGAAGTCCACATTGGCAAAAGTGCACAAGGCCAGCAGGGCGCGCCCATTGTTGACAAAAGTGAAGATGATGGAGACGGCCAGCCCCACTGCGCAGAACAAGGAAAGGAAGCCGCTGCTGATGCTGAGGGAGAAGACCACCCATCCCTGCAACAGAGTGAACATTTGGTTCAGAACAAAAATTAGCATGGCTGCCTACAGTTGGGGAGGAAGCAAATATGGGGTCAATTGTCCTTGCACCAAAAGAAATGATATATGGGGGAAGGATACGCACATGAACACACACGAAGCCGCCTTATACTGAATCAGATCACCAGTCCATCAAGGTCAGTACCATCTATTCAGATTGGCAGCGGCTCTCCTGGGTCTCAGGCAGAGGTCTTTCACCTCACCTACTGCCTGGCCCTTTTTTAAATTGGAATTGAATCTGGAACCTTCTGGATGTGAAGCAGTGGCTCTTCCCCTGAGCTACAGATTCCCCCCCCCCCCCCAATCCACGGGAACACCCCCCCGCCCCAAAGCCCCCCCCCCCCCCCAATTCCAGGGAAGCATGGAGAAATCTCCCAGCCGGGAAATCCCAGGGCTATTGCTTGGATTCTCAAGAGTTCCTTGAAATTTACAAAAAGGTATATTTCTGCTATGTAGCAGCTACAGCAGATCTGGGAGAGAGGGCAGGGAGATAAGTCAGACCCCTCTCTTTGCCGCTTTCCTGTCCACAGGAGGTTTTTTTAAAACACAGGACAGCCTTCAAATGTGACACTCTCAGCTGCATGGGCCTCCTGTGGAGCTGTGAGGATAGGAAGGCATGGATTTTTGGAGGTGCCACTCACATTAGCATCAGGTTCCTTGCCTCAGTCCCCTCTCCCTGTCCCCAGCCACCAAATATCCCTCACACACACACCATCAGAGGGCTTTTTTAAAAAATCGCAGTCACTGATTTTAAGCTATAGTAATTACAAGAGGGGGACCCACGATACTCGCGGGGGGGAGAAGAGCTCCGTCTCCTCCATCCCCCCCCAATCTCCCCGAGGCTGTGGCAGCGGCGGCGAGGCCGGTCCTCCACCCCCCACCCCGCCCGGCTCCGACCCGGCTCCGCGGCGGAGGCAACGGCGGAGAGGCCGGTCCTTCCCCCCCCTTTGACGGGCTCGGCAGCGGCAGCAAGGCCGGTCCTCCACCCCCCGCCCGCCTGGCTCCGAGGCC